AAGATTTCACGTAGTGAAACTGTGCAGCGCTTCTGTGTGGCAAGTAAGCTCACTATTGGCCGACACTGGTCATTTGTGTGATGCGTGTGACGTACAACCTAGAAGCTTTTTTGCGAATTTTCACTGTGTGAAATCTTGAGGCCCACAGAGAAGGAAATGAATAGCTGAATAAAGTCGTTATTTTATTATTTTTTTTTGCGCACAAAAAGTATTCTCATCGCTTGATGAACTTAAGATTGAGCCACTGTAGTCACTCAGACTATTTTAACAATGTCTTTCATAACTTTTGGGCCAGCCAGTGTCGATCCCTTAAGAGGCCTATGGAGGAGTGTTCCAGCTCTCAGATTTCATCAAAAATATCTTAATTTGTGTTCCGAAAAAAAAAAAAAAAAAAAAAAAAGTCTTACGGGGTTGGAACAACATGAGGGAGAATAATTACTGACGCTCAACAACGATAGCACAACATGCAATTTTACAGATACAAATACAAACCGACAACCAACAATGAACACCCCCCTAAACCCATTTTACACACTTTTTCAAACATTCAAACAAGATCAAACATGCCCCAAGTACAGGGGTTGGACAAAAAAACTGAAACACCTGGTTTTACTACACAATAATTTGTTAGAATGGTGAGGGCCTCATTTTGCATCCAAATACAGCACCAATTGACAGATAGAAGTCCTTCACAGTGACCAGAGGGATTATGAGGCATTCCTCTTCCAGAACAGTTTCCAGGTCACTATATGATGCTGGTGGACTCGCTCCTCCAAAACACCTCAATAATATTCAGATCTGGTGACTGTCAGACCATGGGAGATGTTCAACGTCACTTTCATCTTCATCAAACCCTTCTGTCACAAGTCTTGCTGTGTGTGTTGGTGCATGATCATACTGATACACGGTTTGAGCATCAGGTGCTCATGATCCTCCAGAAGCGTTTGGTAGTCCTCGGCAGTGTCGTGTCCATCAAATACAATCAGGATTGTCATGATATTGGAGCTCAAACCATCACTGATCCACCCGTGCTTCAATCTGAAGATTGGCCGCCAGGCATATAGATGTGGAACCTCCAACATTGGCCAGTGTTTCAGTTTCATTGTCCAACCCCTGTACACTGACATTTAAACACTTGCTGCTTGTTCAAATGACTTCATTAAAATGAGCTGAAGCAACATTAATATTTATTTTGTGCTTAATTTATACTTAATACTCATATTTCATTGAGTTCAATCCACTTGCACACATTCAAAATTGAAGTTTACTTAATCAATTTGTGTTGGGATTACATGTTTTTTGACGCATTAACTGACACTTGGTGGAGGATTTTAGGTTCCACATTCTTGCATGCATATGACTTTGCTAATGGCAGTACTGTAGCAAGTATCTCTTTACTTGTGCTGTTGTAGTTGCAGACAGTCTTTTAATTGTACAACATAACTGAATGTCAAATCAAACAAGTCTTCTCCTTTTACTCAACATCACAGACTTGAATATATTTTCAACAATTTTCCATTTCCAAAACGGACGAGCAAAGCCACAGTTTGAAGTCCCTTCGATGCCCTTCTCCCCAGTCTAGGAGCACTTCCCGCCCTGTGTTATCCCAGCCGAGGGCTCTTGATGTGCTTGGTACGAGAGATTCCCGAGGGACGGTTGGCATGGCCGCAGCTGTCTGAATAGATTTGCAAGTGTCACGCAGACGGTCAGTGATGGCATAACTGCGAGCTCCCTAAACACTGTTGACACCGCTCAGCGGCTGCATACCGACGACACTCAACCTGCATTTGCCTTATTTGCATCAAATCGCTGTCAACCGCAGAAAGCAGAACAAGCATAAGCAGCTTATTGTGACCCGTGAACACCCATTTACGGCTCCCTCCCTCCAGGCGTCATGCATTGTACTTGACCCCATCAGACTGCTCTTTTGATATCCCGTCTCGTACCGTGGACGCATATTTCTCCATCATCATTCAATCGGCCTTGCTTTCTCTGCTCGTGTTAGGGTTGTGCACCACTCTGAATTGAATTTAGAATGCCTTTACATTCCATTTCAGTTCCTCAATTTGAGGTAAGGTAGCAAACAGGATGCAAAATTGCAATTTTGGATTGTAAAGTAACGAATGTAAGGAAGACAGACAGACAGACAGACAAGTTGTAGCAACATTTAACTTGTGTAGTCAAGGGCTCAAAACCACAAATGCATTACCTGTTGGAGCCAATCCATAAATCTTGAATTTTGCATAAACCCCTCAGACCTGATTTTTTTTTTCTTCAAACACAGATGATGTAATATTCACCGAACCAGCACTTATGAACCGCTAAAGGTCGTTACCAAGCTGTCTGAGCTTTCAACCCTCCACTAATTCACCTCCCGATATAACAAACACATCCACAGTTATTTACATGCCACCTTCGGTTTTAAATAATGGACATCCATTTTCTGTGCATCGGTCCAGGCTGTCTGTTACAGTAATTTATCTTCCTGACACTTATGGTATTCTGCATGGCTGTGTCTCTGGTGTCCATGGGGAAATTGAAAACATCACATAAAACCGAGGCAGCTTGTAAAGCTTGAGGAGATAAGTGACAGTCTACTATTATTACTGCCATTTACTATATTTACTCTTTAGCCTGCTGGCCCGATCAACGAATCTGCCTCTGAGATATTAATCTCCATTCCTGTGTTTTTCCAAACAGCTTGCAAGAACTGCATAATGCCAATTGAGTCCTCAGACACTTATAGAACGAGCCACTTCATAAACATTATAAACAAGCTGTGCGCAAGTGTTCCCGCAGCGTTAACCGGCAGTGGACGGGGGGGAAAAGCACACAGAGTTGTCGCCAGTTCATCATGCCTTTAAGCTCTGTCCTAATTGCATGCGGAATGCCGCCCGGTGCTTCTGGCCAAGAGACCTCCCCACCCGTAATCGAGGCTTTTGTGAGCCTTTCATTTATTGCGCTGCTCATTTCGAGGGTGAGCCTCAACATATTGCGGATCATGTGCCGTTAGCCTACGTGTCTCCTTGGAAGTGTCCTTACATGCGCCGCTGGGACAGGGGGTGACACACCCCCAAGGTACCGCCAGCCTACTGCGTTTTAATGTGGCTCCGTTGTGACAGCTGGCCTGATAAAATAATTCCCATCATAGAATACAAAGTACGTGGTTTATTGCCTTCCGCGGCGCAAATAGAATCGTCAGCTACACAAACACTCTAGAGTGACACGGGCTGAGTCCTCGGCTTTGTGCTTTTACACATCTGTGGTAAATTGCACGTGTGATAGAGAGAGAAAAAGGGAGGGAGAACGGAATCAAAGATGAGCTGTACAAAGTATTGCTCGCTTGTCAGCGTCGACATCTTGTTTTGCATATGCCTCTAAAGGGCTCTTGAAAGCAGAATGCCATGTCATTCAGCGAAAATGACATCTCATCACAATCTGAGAACACTATGAGGTGCGAGGACGCTTTCAAAAGAAGGACATGTGGGTCAATCACGGCAAGCTTTTGGAGTCTGATGTTTCTGTAGCACAACACGAGTGACATACTGTATGGAAGTTAAAGGTGCTGCGTGTCGTTTCTTTCGATGTTAAAAACGTTGTCATTTCCCAGTCTAATATACAGAGGCGTGTCAGAATTCTCTATAAAAAACACAGTGACACTATCAAAACATTGCTGTTATTTATCCCAACCAACCCAACATTTGCTCAACCAATAGTGTGCATTTAGGAACGGTCTGTGAAAACCTTTTCAAAAGAGAACCTGTTAGAAAACTTTATACGTCATTACTTTTGTTTTGCAATTTCACTAGGTGGTACAGAAATTACAGCCCGATCTCATGAAAGTTCGTATCTATAGCACGAATGTCATTTCTCATGGCATTTATACGTTTTTGCGTGTATATGGTGCGCGTTTTTCGTGTGCATATGATACGCCCCTCCCCCCTAAACCTGCCCCAAGGTTTTTTAGTGCGTAGCATAAGCACGCAGAAACCATTTTTGGAATATAAATGCGACGAGAAATGACATTCGTGGTATAGATACGCATCTTCACGAGACTGTGTTGGAAATTAAATGCTTCACTGTTAAAGTAAGCATGAAATGGACATTGAGATCATCATTTCTGTGCTATTGTGATGTATATCCAAGTTAAACTGCTTCTCGAACAAGACAAATGTACAGTGGGACTTGATCTTGATTTTGAATGAATAATAATAATAAAAAGATGCGCACAGAACAATATTATATAATAAGTGCTGGAATATCCCATTGTCCATTTTTAAGAATTATCCATTTTAATGTGGTTATTTTCAAAAAGATTTTGGATGAACCGCAAAAATCACAGTCAATCTGATCTGATTTGTAGATCCTGTTCAGATCAGTGTTTGATATGGACCACCTTTTACAAAGGTCATTTAAAAGAATCAGCTCAGAAAACCATAAGTTTCGAATCATAGTAGCGGAATTTGGTTGGTTTTTAAATTTCTGCATTGAACCAATCAGAGTTAACTACAATATCCAATTTCATCCCTCATCTAGCAAAAGCTTGTAATGTCAATATTTCGTATTACTCTGAGGCTATGAAGTTTCATGATTCATTAAAGTGAAATAACAGGAATGCATTTGAAATATTCTCCCTCCGTAACAAAAAAGACAAAGCTGGTGCAATTTTGGACAGACTGTTCATTCTTACAATGGCCTCTGGACCCTGGGGAATAGATCAGGTAATGCAAGACGTCTTTCAGGTGGCTAATTATACACTAAGGAAAATAGAGATTTATTGATTAGAAGTGAGCTCAACTGCTGAGCAAGTCCAGCACAAAACTTTCTGCAGAGCAATTAGTTGTCACTGCTGTCAGTTCTCTTTTCCAGCTTGGAGGACCACCAGGGACCTGGCATGAACAAATAATCAAATAATACGATACGACATGTTTCTTTAAAAAAAATTGCATGTTTAAAATGCAATAAAGACAATAATCACTTTGTGACTGAGTCTAAAACAGCTTGAGGACAAAGAAAAGATATGTCACAAATCCTCCAAGGTGATATATTTATGACATGTTGGCTGACTCAAACGAGCCCCATAGTCCCTTGCTGGGAAAGGCTAGCAAAGATTGGCCCAGTGCAGCCGGAGAATGAAATAACGTGAAAATGACCTTGAATTAGCTGTGCTGGCGCTCTGGAATCGATTCAGCCTACATGTAAGAGTAGAATTACTGCTGGAGGTCAGGCCAGCTGAAAGCCAGGGGAGCGGAGAGCCACAGACAGTACTGTAGTGGAGCATAGCAGGAGAGAGTCTGTCCGGATGAGCAACAGGATTCACTCTATGTAAAACTCTCCATCTGTAGAAGAAACAAATGGATGTTTGACGATGTCTTGAGGAAGAGCACTGCACAACACGAAAATACCTGTGGGAGTCACTAACAATTCCATGCTGGATCTTAAGGAAAGAACGGACATAAGCTTCAAGTAAATCAGATACATATGAAGGAAAGAGGTTATGAAGAGCTTTGCAATTGAGGGTTAGTAAGTTGAAGATTATCTCATATCTAATGTGCTCATTCTGTCTTCAGAGAGTGATCAAACGGGCTGCAGAGTTTTGAACATTGTAATCATTTGATGCTTTCAGTTGAAAGGCCATAAAGAAGTGAGTAACAGTAAATCAAGGTGAGATGTGAAAACATGACATGGACAGTGTAACAGTTTCACCATCCTACTGACTAAAAGAGGATTGAATACGAGAGATATACGTAGGCGGAAAAAAGCTGTCTTTACCACTATACATTTTTTTTAGCATTAAATGAAAGAGTGGAATGGAATAGAACAGCAAGATTTCGAACTGTAGTAGAGGGCATATTCGGGTCACCATTCAAATCTATCAGTATTCATTTCAATCAGTACTTCAATTTGATCAGTTATGTGATGTTATCAGTTATGCATTTCAGAAACGTACATATATGTACAGTAAGCTAATAATATATTAATTTAAGGCAGAACAAAGAGCTAATTTAAGTAATACGTACATAAATGTTTAGGACATGATTTGGACTCTTGACTAATATGGTATAGCCTGATGGAAATGCAGATACTTATGCTTAGATTGTTAATACTGATTTTCAACAGGTGACATTTTATATTTTGGCCCTTCAGATGAGTTCAAAATAAAATGCACACAACGAATGTTTTTTTTTAGTCGTTTAGATTAGTTGACTAATCGAAAAACTAGTCAAAAGATTAGTCGTTAGAAAATTTGTCATTAATGGCAGCAAACTACGTGATTTTGCTCCAGCCAAAGCTTGAGTTTCTTTAATTCAAGTTGTTAATGCATAAAACAGGAGGAGTAGTGCTAAAGAAATAGTAAGAGGAGTGCTAAAATAAATCTGTGTGTTATCAGCATAACAGAGATAATTCAACCCATAGAGTCTGACGATTTTTCCAAGTGGTCACATACTGTATATAGATAGTGAAAATAAGAGGCCACAAGACAGAACCTTGAGGTACACCAGAATTGATAGATTTAGTGGAAGATGTGTGCTTCCAGTATACAATAAATTGTTGCCTACCTGTCAAATAAGAGGAAAATCAGTCAAAAGCTGTACCAGTATTTCCAATTGCTGAAAGGCGTGGCGTACTGCTCGTGGTTAGTTCATGTTAGTTAATACATTAACTAATGTTTAATAAATGAACCTTATTGTAATGTGTTACCAAAACATTTCTGTTCATTTAAATAAAGCTGAAATAAAATACCAAATAAAAAAATAAATACATTTCTAATTTTCATTCTGTCAGGAGCCAATCAGAGGCCTCCCAAGTCACCACGCAACAATCACTTTCCCCAGAGTTCTAATCACCTGCACCTATTTCCACTCAGCACGCACTTCACAGCCAGCATAAGAGCACCAAGTTCACAGTCACTCATGGTCAAGCCTCCAACAGGAAAAGACCCTAACCAGCCTTCACTGGTTGATCCACCGAGCTGAGATGTAAAGTATACTCACCTGTAAAGACTAACCGCTCGGTCCTTGTTCTGATGTTCCCAGGATCTGCTCCATGATTCTCGTTCCCTGTGTCCTGGATTCTGCCATGAGTCTCGTCCCTCTACTGGATGATCTATAAGGATGAAAAGCAAGTATCACTCAACTGTGTTAGTTCCCGATCTACTATTGAAAAAGGATCTACTCACCTGGAATCCTGTCTGTCCTCCGTCTGCTCCACGACGATCTGAAAGTGAGAAAAGGAAAGTCATTGCCTTGTGTCACCGTTCATGTAATTCCTAAGAAGAGGATTCACTCACCTGGATGTATTCCTGCCACGTATCCTCCTTCAAGAGCACTTCTGAGCACCTGAAACCCTGAATACTTCCCTTGTTTATTAATAAAGAAAGTTTAAGTTCATCACTTACCTCTGTCTCCGAGCCTGAATCCTGACACATTCAGTGTAAATTGAAGCATTAAATGATTAACTGGAAATAAAAACTAAGCCTAACTAAAATAAAAATAAAATAATCCTAAATAGCTCTGCAGATAATCTAAAGCTAACCTAAATATGAGATTCATGGCAACATTTAAATTAATAGGTTTTACTCAACTCATAAATATTGTTTAATGTGACATTACATAAATGATCAGGTAAATTGCTAAAGTATATGGACAAGAACATCATATTTGTCAGCAAGGTGCAGACAGATGATGAAGAGGCAGAAGGATTTAAAACACAGAAGGATTAGAACAAACACAATGCTACAAACACATACACCAGACAAACACTGAGTGAAGGTGAGGAACTTAAATACATATGGCGATGAACTAAATGACAAACAGCTGTGATGATGATTAGTGTTCATGGAAACGGGTGGGTTGTAGGAAACTCAAACAAAGGAACATTCATTGTGACTGATGAATACAAACTAAAAGTCCATGAAAATTAAAACAAACAGAAACATGAACACAACTGTGACAAGATTAATTTCGAGATCACAGTTAACGTTTCTTTTTGACTTTTACATTTTCAAAACCAAAATATAATCATTCTTGTGACATCCAATTTCATCAGCCATTTTGAATTTGTGCTGCCATAAATAAAACATGAAACCTTCTCACAATGACAGAGAGAGGACAGTCATATAGAATTATGGGTAAGGGTCAAAGGTTACAACCAGAGCACAACCGGTGGCCTGAATGTAACATCACACCCTGAATGATTACTGTATTGGAAAACTTGCACTATAAATAAAAACAAGCTTTTACTAGACTTTTGAGTAAAGAATTTGAAAGCTATAAAACCCTTCATAACAAATTAAGCATATTACACATTCAAAACAAGAATGGGTCAAAGCATTTTTGCACATCTAACAGCCATGGGCAAGTGGACCTTAAAATATGCATGGCATGCTTTGAGATTGACTTTTTCTTGGAAAACTGTTGCACGGTGGTTCAGCGTTAAATCAATATTTGTTGCAATTCAGGTTTTTTTTTTAAATGATTTAATAACACCATGTTCAAATCAAATACTACATGTAGCATGTTAAAATTAAAAAAAGACTCTTTGGTTTGTGGATGTCGCAGTACTGAGAAACAAAACTTGCTTCAAGTAATTATAACTATAATACGCTTGTTTGAATTTTTTTCATAAAAAAAAAAAAAAATGAAATGAAAGAACTCATCTGATACTTTTAAATAAACAAGAAGCTGTCCATGCACAGCTTCCCATTCATTCTTCATCTGTAAGAAAACAAAAGTGCATGCGCATTAATATTAATTGAGGAATTTGGATTTTAATGTGTTTTTGTGCTTAAATACATACAAATTATTTGCAGAACAGCTACACAGCTTTAAAGATTTAAACAGCATAATATGGGATTAGATTTGTGAATCCCTACTAATGAAAATTAGACATTTGGGTTGTCAAATATAATTCTTTTCATAAAAATAACCGCTTTAGGCTACGGTCCATATTAGGATCTCTTCATTTGGACGTAACTGGCTCATAAAGGCTATTGTTTGCAATGGGTGGTTATCAGAGGCTTTTAGCATTGAGCTTTTACCCATTAGGTGTGCATTTGAAATCAAACATTTAGACACAGCCCACAGTCTCATGGCATTCAATGATCAAGCGTTACTGGAATTAATCAACATTGTGTTTATGCCGTCCATAATCACGCAACCTTTTAAACCCGTCAATCTATTTGACAAATGACATCATCAGTGAGTGTGAGGGGTGAACCGCTGACAGGCCGGATGACTAACCTTCAGAAATGTCATTCTGTCACTCAGTGTGATGGAAAACACTGTCAGGCCAAAGACAATGGTGTCGATAATCGGGTCGCACTTCTCGTCTCTCCTTCCCCACTCGACTGTACCCCATCAGCCACTCGATCGATGTGTGTGCGTCACGGGGCTTATGAGATTTTTTTAGTCATCAATAACAATAACAATGTTAGCATCAGTAATTGCCATATTTTAACACAGGCCACTGGATACAGGACAAGACACTTGACCTTGTGTCCATTTGCATATCTGCATAATTCATGCCTCGCGTTTGAGCACACAAAAAAATCTGTCGTTTCAGTGAGGGGTGCGCTGACCTTTGACCTCGGGTCTGATGCCGCTGATACGTTCACCTCGATTCAGCAAAAGGCTGTGATGGGACCCAGTACGCATCGCAATCTACCTGCCGCTTGTCGGGGGCAAATTAACAAGCCTGGCGCAATGCCCGGCATTAATTAATGAGACCGGGCATAAAAAACATTGCCAAGAGCCGACGGGGATTTGCACTGAGAACGACGCAATGATGCTTCCTGGAAGGTGTAGAAGAGTCACTGAAACTGGAGACAGCCATAAAAACACTTCATGCAGAAGTCAAAGGCTGAAATGGGTATAAAGACAGCAATATGCTGCAGGCCGGAAATTGAAATTCAAACTGTGTGCCTCAGTGGTTAACCTAAAATCAAGCAATTACTCATAAACCTTAGTATGGGTATTGTTTACCAAAACTAAAAATCAGTTTCGGACACTGAAATAAAGCTGAAAATATTCTATGAAAAACTTCAATGAAAATGAGAAATTCTGGCTGCTCTTTTCTGAATCTGGCTGTTCTGCTTCAAAAGGGTATCACCACATAAGTATCATACTGTAGATGATTTGTGCACTATATATGGGCATCAGAAATCAATGGCAATTAGATATCACGGTAACACTTTATAATAACTACACGCTAATAATCATTAGTTAAGCATGAGTAAACCATTAATTCATCATTCATAAAGCATTAATAGACATTAATAAGCAGTTCATAAATACAGCTATAAATGCTTTCTTCTTGATTTAAAAGCATATCTATAATTTGTTTAATAATTGTATTTTCATCCTTTATTAATGATCAATTTATCATTTCTAAATGAAGAATTGCATTTTTTATGAGGCAGTTATTTAAGAGTTTTCAGTGGTTCATACGATTACTTAGAGAGAGTGAGTAAATGATTAATAAACTATTTAAATGTACATTCATACATCTTATTATTCAGACATATAGTGATGGTTACTTAATGTGTTAATACATGCTTTATTAACATGTATTAATGCTGTAATTAAGGGTTAATTTGGGTAGTTATAAAGCATTTAGTAGTGGTCAGTTAACTATGTTCGTGAACTCATCTAAAGTGAGGACTAGTCATGCCTTGTAAAGCATTTTTAAAGGCAGTTAAATATTTCTATGTTCTGTATCACTGCGTTGTGTTTGTTACATTTTACTGTTTAGAAGATATACGAGTCTTTAAATCACCTTTATAAATGCTTTACAAAGCATGAATAGTCCTCACTTTAGATTAGCTCACAAAAATAGTAAACTGACCACTACTAAATGCTTTATAACTACCTGTATTTACTACATTTACTTACACTTTCTACGTGATCTTATGAATGACTGACAACTCTTAAACAACTGGTTTGTAAATAATGCTATACTTCATTTAGAAATTATTAATTGATCATTAACAAAGTATGAAAATACAATCATTAAACGCATTATAGATATGCTTATAAATCAAGAAAAAAGCATGTATAGCGATATTTATAAACTGCATATTAATTTCTATTAATGTTTTATAAATGATGAATTAACTGTTTACTCATGCTTAACTAATGATTGATAGTGTGCAGTTATTATAAAGTGTTACCGATATCACTGACATCAAATCTGGTTCAGTATATTTTCATGTGTCATAAAACATAATGATATCTGTTCCATTTACAGACTTTTTCTCATTTATGGAGCCCATAAACCACCATAGTAATCTACCTTCGTTGCATGCATGCAAATGAGCAGGATGAACCTTCTTTAAAACATCTCCTTCTGTGATAAACAGAAGAATGTCAATACAGTAATCATGGTTCTGGACAACATTCAATAATGTAACATAATTCTGTGTCTTTATACTGTCAGCACAGCCATATAACTGATCTTCTGACTGAGCGGCACTACAGCATGCTTATTTTCATTCCACCAAGGTTAGTTATCAAACCAAACACCTGTGATTTTTCTTCTGTTAATGGCAGACACAAGTTATACTCCAAAGGGCCTGAACCAAAGCCAAGAAATGAAACACTGCATATGTTACAAAGCAACGTAATGCGACAAAGAGGAAAGCTCTCAGAATGCAGAGAATAGAATTTAATCCCCTACCTTTAGAGAGAACTTCTCATTTGATTGTGGATCCTGAACGCAGCTATAATGGAGGAGGGTGAACAAGCGCAGGGCATTTCATCTGTGCCAAACATAAAAGCTGCTTTGGAGGCCACGTAAAACATATTTTATAATCTTACCTCCGCCCGGCACAAAAGAGCGACTTTGGTAGAGTGCGCTGAAGATGGAAGACGTGACGAATTACAAACCTTCTTGACGGCAGATGATGTGTTTTGTGGTGCTGCTTCTCATTGAAGAAATATTAGTATACACTACTTTTATGGGGTTTTTTGTAGAGTCAAAATCATAATTTTCTCATTCATCTTCTCTCATATATCTCCTTTTTCTATTCCACGGTGGAAAAGGAAGTCCTAGAGGATTGGAAAAAGATATGTTAGTAACTTTCCAAAATCTAGTTTTTAGGTGAATTATGCATTTAATATCACTCCTGCAAAGCATTATAAATGTATTAGTACACTGTAAAAACATATTTTCATGATTTGTAATCACATTCTTTTGTCAAATCAACTTAAATCATTTATGTAGTTCAGATAACATAATATTTTGAGTTTCTGATGTTTAAATCAATCTACTTCATTGTATAACTCACTTTTTCCAGTTCAATGAACTTACAATTTTAATGCAACCAGGTTACTTCATTTTTTAAGTTAAACCAACAATATTTTTACAGTCATATAGAACATATAAAATATTTTTGTTCATGATTCTTGTTCATGATTCAACAGAAACAAAACCATAAATTAAAAACTTAAAAATACTGCATTTATTTAAAAAAA